AATATACTTATTCTTGACTTTACTAATATTACTATTCCTTAAATATATAAATAAGTATAATAAATCTTAAATATACTATTAATAAGAGAGTTCTTTTATTAATCTAAGAGCTTATTATATATCTTTTCCTAGTTCTTTGGGGTATAATTATTAAAGAAATTAATAACTAAGTATTTCAAGGTATTATTAAAAATAAGGAAATATTTAGTAAGATATATATTTATAGGAGCCATACTTGGATCTAATTCAAGCTAGAAGAATTTATTCAGATTACGGATAAGATCCCGATATATCCTATTAGAATAGCTAGGCTTAATAGAGATACCGAATCTTAATACTTTACTAAATTCAATATATAGATATTTAAGATTACGAAAATTAGTTTTATAGCTTAGAATTTCGGTATTTATTTAATATTTGCAGCTTTTAGGGCCTCAGAAGCAGAAATCGGGTCTATAAAAAATAATAATAAATAGAATATTTACTAGAGTATATTTATTTACTTACTAAATAATTCCTATCTATATTTATAGCTAGTATAGCTCTTCTTTAGCTATAGCTTCTACTAAGATTTCCTAATAGACCTCGGCTACTTCTTATATATTATTATTAAAATCCTTATAGAAAGTACTATTATTATTAAAATCTTAAGAGAATATATATAGATACTTGGCATTTTTATCTATATATTCTGGGCAGTCAGAGATATTAAATAGAATACGGATATAAACTAAGTTACTTGCCTTAGGATAATTAAGCTTTAAGTCTTTCTAATTAATATATAGCAAATATATCTTAGAAAGATTATTATTGAAATTATTATTCTTAAAGGAAGTTTCAGGTAAGGCTATAAAAGAGGTTTCAAATAATATAGCCTTTTACTTAGTATAATAACCTTTAGAAAAATTATACTTATAAGTAATAATATAGATTTAATATATATAAGTCTCTAGTTAGTTTTACTAAATAGTCTTATTTATAATAACCTAGCCTTTTTTAGAAATAAATAGAAATTTATAGGAATAAAAAATATTTCCGATTATTAATAACTACTTATTTAGAGAATTCTTTACCTAAGCCTTAAAAGAATTAAGAGTCTTATCTATAAGAATCTTATTCTTAAGCTTTCTAAATATCTTTATTCTATAAGTAGTATTATTAATAACTAGAAAGAATATAAATATGAGTTCCTTCTATTACTTAATAAAGAAGATCTTCTTAGAAATGGATTTAAGGTATTTCGAATAATTATATATATTTATATATAGAATATTAGTACTAGTAATATTTAGCTACTTTATATAGAATATAATATATACCTTATCTATAGTATTAAAATAGTTATTAGCCTTCGGATTAGTAATTTAGTAGCTAAAAGCTTCTAGTAAGAGGCCATATTTAGCGGTATTAATAATTATAAAAGCCTTAATATTAAGAGAGCTAATATTAATCTTGAGAGTATAACTATAGATACTATAAGAATTAACCTTTTTAGAAGGCTTTGTATTTAGTAAGTTAATAGTACGAGTACCGGTTTAGCTTATAGAAAGCTAATTATAGAAATACTTCTATTCAAATATTAGTATAATAAATATAACTAGTAAAAGTCTGCTATTATTACTACTCAAATTAGCCTAATATAATTAATTAAAGATCTTTCTATTAAATATAATATATATAGAAACCTTAGGAATAATCTTATAAACTAGTATAATATATACTAGTAGTTTAGGTTCGGTTATAGTAATTAGAATAATAGAAATAGTAGTACTTTTAGCTAAAATAGTTTTAGTAGCGGGAGTAGTAGTATCTTTAGCTAGAGCTTTAATGATTTCGGTAGCAGGAGCTATAATAATTTCGGTAGTAGGAGCTTTAATAACTTTAGTAGTAGAAGCTTTAATAACTTCGGTAATAGGAGCTTTACTAACTTTAGTAATATCTTTAAAGATATAGTTATTCTGAGCTTCTATAAATATATTAGTAATATTAGCAGGGAATTAAAAGTCTATAGTAGAATTAATTAAATAAGAGAACTTAAATAGCTAAATAAGGGAAAATAATTTACTTAAATAGTTAGTAAATTAATAAGGTTATAATTATAATTATAATTATAAATATATAGTATTAAGAAAAATTTTCGGTAATAAGATATTTATATAAGCGCTTTTTAAGATAAATCGGGAAGCAAAATAAGGTAAATTAATAGTAATTTACTTTTATAATATAATAGAAATAATTTATAATTATAAAAACTTCCAAAAAGATATTAAAAAAAGTAATATAAGGAATCTAATAGTACTTTTCTAGTATTTCGAGGTTAATTAATATATAGATATTACCTTCTTATACTAGATATTATTATTATAGTTTAATATTATTATAAATAAAGGTTAGTTTAATATCTTTATAGATAGGTAATATTAGTAATAGTATCTTTACTCGGATTTAAATATATTAAGTAGCTATAGAACTTCTTATTATAATAAAATTTCTGGCTCCTATATTATATCTTAATAGTCTAGCTATTTAATCTTATAGAATACTATTTGTTTTCTAATACCTGGAACCTTTCTTATTTCCTTACCTATAATTTTCTCGATTATATAGTACTTCTCTTCCTTAATAGTAATATATCCAGGCTCTGGCTATAAATACTTATATGAATTAGGTAAGGCTAGTTCGAGGAATTTAACTAATATAACTGGGTATATTCCCGTAAGCTATTTAGGAAGCTCGATTTTAAATAAGAGATCTCTCTTATAGTACTTCAGGATTTAAAAGAAGCCTATTTTATTAAAAGAGAGCTTGGTTTAATTCTATAAATAGTAACTCTTTTTATATTTCTTACTAATCCTGAGATATATAAACTCTCCGAATTTTAATAATATATGATTTATATTATAATAGATCTTTATCCTAGCCTAAATAATAGTAATTATATTTACTATTTTATTCCGGATATCCTTTTGGTTCTATAAGAAATCATTTATATTTATAGTAGTCTTACTAAAAGCTATCTTAGCTTCCCTATTATAGAGAATAGAAAACGGTATAATACTAGTTAAGGTATTAATAGTACTATTTATAGAAAGCTATATCTATAATATAATATTCTCCTAGCCAGATTAATTATATTAATTACTAAAGATATATTATATAGTATAAATAAAGGTTTGAATTATATACTTAGCTTATCTATTTATAGAAAAATAATATATAGCTATAAATACTAGATTTATATAAAATAACTAGAAAAGCCTAGTCTAGAATACTAATATAAACTTAGAATCTCAATTAGAAATAATAGTATCTAGTAGTCTCTAATTATAGAAAATATACTCGAAATACTTTTCTACCTAGACTTTTACTATATTAGTTTTCTTCCTAATAAAATAGTAGATAAATTTAGAGTATTTGTCTATAATTAGTAAGGCTTTATTATTCCTGTTCTTGAATATAGAGAGGCCGTTTATAAAATCGAGATATAATACTAATAGTAGTATCTTTAGATACTTAATAGGCTATAGGAATTCCTATAGTCGAATTCGAAAAGGCTTTATTTAGGAATATACTAGATAATTTAAGGTATATTTAAGGATTTCCTTTTTTATTCTTAGGAAAAATATATATTATCTGAGAACCTAAAATATATATTCTATTCTAATATATATAATAGAATTATATACTATCTTAAATAAGATCTTAAGGTATCTATATAATATATATAAGTATTTCCTATTATTATTCCGGAAAAAGAAGAATTTGGATTTTATATCCCGGTAGAAATTATATAAGATTATAACCGGACTATTTTTATTATAGATTATATTATTATAGGTTTTATATATTTATAAATATATCTTCCGGAAACTAATATCTTTAGGTAAAGCTTCTACTACTTACTTTAAAAATCCAGGTTAAATATATAAAATAGAGACTATATACTCTAGTAATTATAAATATAAAGTTTCTTTAGCTAGGGCCTCTTGAACCTATAAAGCCTTTTTGACTTATATAGTCTCTTGAGCTTATAAAAAGCCTCGAGGCTATGGATTTAGTTTATTAAATTATATAAGATCTTTGGATTTAGCTAAATACTTCTTAATAATATTCTTAGTTACTATTTATATCTAAACCGGGAATATATATACTAGGAATATATACTTCTAAAGTTATATTAGTCCTTTTATAAGATATAAAATATAATTCATTACTTAAATAGGCTTTTCTAAAATGCGAGATAGGCTATCTATATTTATATAAGTCTTTCTAGAATAATATTTAATCTCTATATAATCCTAATACTTAAAGAGAAATAATTACTAGTTTACTAATCTTATAAAATACTTATTAACTAGGCCTATATCTTTAAAAGTATCTATAATTACCTTATAGTTAGTATAGACTATAATTTTGCTATTATCTAGGAAATGAGAAATCTTTTAAAATATTTATATAAAAGCTATAGTTTCTAATTTAGTTAGCTAGTAGTTATATTTTACTAAAGTCAGGTTTCTAGATAAATATAGAATAAGGTACTCTAATCCGTCTAGTCCAATTTAATAAATAGTACTACTAAATCCCTATTTCTTATTACTATTTATATATATAATCTAGTTCTTATTAAAATTAGAATAGCCTAGCTAAAAAGTAATATAAAGATATTCTTAGAGAATTACGAAAGCCTTTTTTATATTATTAAATACGAGATTTTCCTTCTACTCTTTTACTATTTTATTTAGCTATTTCTTGGTCTAGTAATCTTATCCGGAACCTTATATAGGAGCCCCTTTAAATCCTAAGGTCTTTAATACTTATATTAGTTACAAAATCCCGGTATAGTAATTAATAAACTTTCTATAATAGTTAAAAAACCCTAAGGTATTCTCTAATTAAGCCAGGGTACCTGGAAATTATATTTTTCTAACTATTTTAACTTTTTTATCTAATATACTTAGTCCAAAATAATTAATCTAGTAACCTAAAGCTTTTAGACCTAGTTATATAAAATAGTACTTTAATAGGTTCAGGGTAATTCCGGAGTATAATAGGATTCTGAGAATAGAGAAAAGATAATTAATATAGGTTTTAATATTTTTTAAGAAAATAATTATATTATTAATATAAACTAGAATAAACTTCCAAAGATAGCTACTAAATAGTTTTTCTATCCGGTACTAGAAGAAGACAGGAAATATAAATAGACTTATTATACTAACTATTAGCTACTTATATCCTCTATAAAAAGTTATAAAGGCTGTTTTCTACTAGTCTAATATACGGATTAGCTACTAGAAGAAGCTCTTAATTATATTAAGATATAAGAATACTAATTCTTTATCTATAGCTTCTAGGATATTATCTTATTTTAATAAAGAATATATATCCTAGTATAATTTAGTATTTACCCTATATAGATTTATTATAAATCGGGGCTTTCTATTCCGGTATATAATAAATCCCGGTAATATATAAAATAAAGGCTATCCTAATAATACTAGTTTAATAATACTAGCTTTTTATAATAGGTTAAGGATTATATCTATAGTATCCCGGTTATATTTAGAGAAGCCATATAGTATTTATTTGAAATCTAAGATATTAGTATTTTTATAGAAAGAAATTAGTATTTCGATTCTATTATTAAAATAACCTAACTCTTTATAAAAAAGACAAATATTTTCCTTAATAACTTATAAAATATATTAATAATTATTTTCTCTCCAAATATTAGAGATATTAGTTTGGAATAGATTAATACTAGGGTCTAGTAAAGGCTAAATTAAATATAGATAGCTATTAGGGTATTTCTCTTCTATATCTTATTATATTAGTAATAGATCTTAGAAAACTTTAGCTAATCCGAGATATATTTTAGCCTCTTTATCTATATTTTATAGAGCGGTTTCCAGGCAATTTAGTAAACTAATAACCTTATTTACTAGAAGCTTAATTAGGGTCTTTCCGAAATTTATATAAGGTAATAGCCTTATAGTCCTATCTATAATACTATTAATAAATATACTAAAAGTATTTAAGGTAATATTATATTATAGCTAAGAATTTATAAGGTATTTATAACCTAGATATAGTAGGATATAGTATTATATTATAATATTCTAGCTATAACCTAGAGATATAATAACTATTTCTACTATATAGATCTGGGCTTAGTAATACTAATTAATTTATTATAAGGCACGTAATAGCAGGGTAATATATAAATAGTTAAGGTAAGTAAGCTATAGAGTAATGCTTGCAAGTATAACTAATTCCAAGAATTAATTCTAATAAGAAACTAATTAATGCTCCTTCCAAAGCTAGGAGTATCTCCTTATATATTCCCTAGTACTTAGTCAGGCATGCGAAGCCCTTTATTTAATTAGGAAATCCCATATAATCTATATAATTCCGATTATAAGCTATACCCAAAATAGGAAACTAGATCTATAATATCTAATATTTATTCATATACTATTATATATATCTATTATATTAATTTCCCCTCTAGGCCCTTATTCCTAAGAGGCCTGGGAAAACTGCAAATAGCTTTATAAATATTCCCCTAAAACTTTCCTGGCTACTAGCTTTCCCCAAAGATTTCCTATAATTACCCTATTATTATACCAGGTAATAGAGTTAAGGATATAGTTTACTAATTCTTTCTAGCTAGTTTGCAAATTACCTCTAGTAATTTCCTCTCGCAAAGATAATATAAATATAGTATATATTATTAGATATAAAGCTTATCCGATTTCCTAATTAGTTTATAAATTCTAACTTAGCCTCTATTTGCGAATAAATTATTACTTTATAGGCCCAAGAGCTTGGAAAAGTTAATCCGATCTTCTAGTTTATTTATAAATCTTTTTTTTAGAATTTTCTAGATATTCCTGGTATAGAGCCGGTTCCGAATTCGTAATTACTATTCGGGGAGAGGGTATTATAAAAAGGCCTCTCTTTTCCTACTAACTAATCTTTCTTTTCCTTAACTATAATACTATATCTAGCTTTTCCTTATTTCTTGCCTTCCTTCTTTAAGCCTTCTTTAAGCTCCTTTAAGCTTCTTTAAGCCTTATTTAAGCTTTATTTAAGTCCCTTTCTAATTCTCTTTTCTACTTCTTTATTTATTAAGATAAATACTTCTCTTAGTACTTATTAGCCTATTACTATTCGTTTAGCTAATACTTCTATATCCTTAATTTGCCCTTATTATCTTTAATATTCCAAGAATATTACTAAGTTTCCTAACCTTACTTATATTAAGAGTAATAATTATTTAGTATATAATTACTATTACTCTAAGAATAAGAAATATAATCTTATAAGTTATAAATTTCTTCTTTTATTCCTTATTCTAATATTATTTAAGGTTCCTTAAATATATATAGTATAGTTAAATTATCTTCTTTAAGCTATTAATATATATAAGCGTCTTCCCTATTCTTTACCTAAAAGAAAGAAGGCTATTACTACTCTTTTTCTATACTAAACTATATATATTTCTTATATTAAAGCTATTATTTAAGGCTAATAAATTTCCCTAATAATCCAAGGAATAGGTCAAGTAATTCTTACTAGCTTAGTACAAGTATAAAGTACTCTTAATAATATAGTTAATATTTTTTAGTATTAAGTAAGCTTACTTCTTCCTTATTTCTTACTAATAGCTAATAGCTTTATAGGCTAATTTACTACCTATTTCTCGAAAGAATCCTAATAAGAATAATAATAAGAATAATAGAAAGTAGTTATAAAAATAGAGTATTTATAAGATATAGAAATTAGAGTTTTTAATAATTTTCGTATGGTTTTTCCAAGAATAAATATATGGTTTTTTAATAATTTCCTAATAAAAGCATTTATCTTTTATGCCTTTATTTAGCTAATAGTATTATAATATTACTTTTTTCCAAGTATTCTTGTAATTCTTGAGCTATATTCTCTAGATTACTTAATAGTTCTCATATATTATTTACTAGTAAGTAGCTCTTCTAATAAACAAGATACTCTCTTCCTTTTCTACTTTCTTTATAGGCTATAATAAATTCTATCTCGAATTCCTCTTTACCCTTAATCTCGACCGGCTCTAGTTCTATTATAATACTAGCTTGTGAGTATTATAGTTTTAAAAGAGAAATATAAAAAATATTATAGATCTAATATAATAGTAGTAATTCCAAGTAATATACCTATTTATATATTTCTATAACTTCTAGAACTTTAAAGAGGCCAAGATATTTATTTACTAGCTTTATACTAGGTTATAGCTATTAAATATTCTTTATATAAAGCATGACTTTATTATATATCTTGAACTTCTTATTAATATATTTCTTATTATAGTACTTTTTTAATATATTTACTACTTCTTGCTATTATTTCTCTAGTACTTCCCGTTTTACTTAAATTCTTTATATTCTTTCCTATATTACTAGCGCTCTTTTTTCTGGAATATTATCCTTAATATATAGTTTAATACTAGAATAGAATTCGTATAAGGTATAGAATAGAAATATTTCTATTATTAAATATATAAAATTATTATATATGAATTCTGTAAGAGTAAGCTTTATTACCTAGTTATCCTACTAGTAGCTAGTATAATACCTCAAGTATTATTCTAGAGTTTAGTTCAGATTCTCTATTTATTTATTAGTTTATAGGTAAAATACTATACTCAGCTATTATTAAACTTTTAAGTAGAAATATAAACTTAACTAGAACTTGCTTATAAAAACAGATCCTCTATTAGAGGTTATACCCGCAGGTATACTAAAGTCTTTAATAATATAATATATAAATAGCTCTACTAGCTCAGGAGCCAAGACTTTCTTAGTAATTAGAATATATTATACTATTTTCATATATTTATTAATAATAATAAGTATAGAATTATATACTTTATTACGAAATCTAGAAAAGAGTAGCCCCGTAATAAAGTCTATAGTAATTTCTTGCTATGGCTTAAAGAAAAGAAGAAATAAACTAAGTATACTATATAGCAGATATTTCTTTATCTTAGTCTATTAATATATAGGATAAGTTCTAATATAATCTTTTATGTTCTTTCTTATATTTTACTAGAAGTATTTTCTCTAGAGGATCTCTAGTATCTTACTAGTATCAAAATACTTATCTATAGGATTATTATAGTTAGTTTATAGTAATTCTTCTTTAAGAGCCGGCTTATTTAATATATAGATAGTACCCTAATATCTTAATAACCCAGATATATCAAGTTCCCAAGTCTTAATAGCTCTAGTAAAGGTCCCTTTTAAGAACTATTTATACTACTGGTATTATACTAATAAATTGAGCCTTTAGTACTATAATAGTAATTCAAGTAATATTTCTCTGCTTTTCTTATATACTATTTCGGACCTAGCTACCTATATAGCTAGAATCCGTAGTATATACTATTTATAACTAGCTATACTAGTAATAGGCTTAAGTAGTAGTATCTCCGATACTATTCTATTACTAAAATAGACTTCTTCTTTGGAATTTCTTAGTATTTTGCTAATTGAGAAGTGCCTATCTCCTCTTTCCTGGGCCTTATATTATAGTATTATAGGAATAGTATAGTATCCTATTACTACTATTTATAGGGTTCTCTATTCTATATTCTATAGCTTATTATAAAGTATAAATAGTAAAGTATCTTTATTTATACTTACTATAAAGTCTAGCCTCTTTAATAGCCTATTAGCGGAATTACTATACCCTGGCTAGTACTCTAAAACAAAGTCAAAGGTAGCTAGCTTCTCTGCCTATCTTATCTATTAACTATTTAGTTTTCTCTTAGTTATAAAGTATTTTAAGTTATTATAATCTATTTTAATAATAATAGTATACCGGGTATATATTAGGTAATACTACTAAGTATGAAATACTAGAATAATAGCCAAGAGTTTAGAGTTATATATTTTATACTTACTCTTAATTATAGTTATCTTTTTTAAATAGAAAGTAATAGGGTATTACCTGGCTTCCGCCTCCTTATTAAAGAGCTAGGAAATCATACTTATAATTATAAATCCTGAAATATTCGTTTCTATATAAATCTTTAAGGCTAGGTTAAAATAATAAAGAATTAGTATTATTATAAATATAATTTATAGCTTTCTAAAAGCCTTATCTGTCTTATTTGTCTAGCTAAACTAATATA